AGTCTCGAAAGGTTCCCAGTGAAGCAATCACTGAACAAAACAATCATATATATGCTCAAAGCCTTGAGGAATTCTGCAGCATTCTCTCGTGCATACCAACGGTGAATGGCTTGTGTGAGATTTCATCGGTGAACAGTGTACTTTAGAACCTAACAAAAATTCAGTCGACAGTAACTTCGCAAGTTGCCAGTGGGGTTCAGCTTGCAAAGCCTGTGTCTAGCGGAGTCTCTCGGTAGGAGCTTACAATAAGCACTTCACCAATCATCGCTGAAAGATCCGAAATCACGTTATTCATCATTACCTTAGCTGTAAAAGATGAAGTTTTGAACTGAGGTCCATTGGTCTATTCGGTTTCTTAAAATTCCATATTTCCAGGTCTCGCTCGGGAGAATACCATATACCGATGCTTCTAGTACAACATACCAGAACCCTACAGTTCTAAGGGCTATCGATGAGATGCACCCAGGCAAAAATACTACGATGAACAAACAGATATGGTTTGAATAGATGAGGTAACAGTCGTAAAAAGTGACCACTGGCTCATTTCTATAAGGGACGAATCAACAGGGCAGATCACCCGCTCCGTGAACTTCGGAAAAAATCTCGAATTGTTCCAAACGGTCCGCCAGGTAAAATAACGCTTACAGAAGTGTCATTCATACATTTTGGTCGGCTGCTCAAAAACGGATCAAATTTTTGCAAGCTGCTGACAATGGGCACCGAACACAGCGACAACTAGTTCGATTCAGAGAATATAGGACTGGCACATTAGTATTCAAATTAGTATACGAGCCAGATGAATCTGATCAAGATGACCTTGAAGAATCGTTGTCACAACCTTAAAAAGAAATCTGATTTTAAAGTCGACGCGCAAGGTCGACGTATATGTGTAAGTCAGACAAGGCGTGGGTTAATTTCTAAAGAGCAAATTGATTCACATCTACATTTGATATTTTACGGGTATTCTACGATGAAACAAAGGTTTTGGAATACGCCTTTGGTCGGAAGTGGGACAGAGCAGCAATCTGGGGTCGGTTGGGTTGAGGAGACTTCAAAACGATCATCGTGAGCAAGATAACAGAATGATCAAGGAAACTGAGCCAATATATTCTCCGAAAAGACAGATTAGCATGAGGGTTAAGGAGGATGAGTCGTGTTCCACACTAGTTCGAGCTTTTTGAAACAAAAAACCATTCGGGACCACCTCCCTGTGAAGGGGGTTATTCGCTTTACTTTCTCTGAAAGTTGTCTGTGTGTGAGAGCAGACATCCTTCAGAGAATGTACTTTAAAAGACTTGGCTTTGTTGTAGGAGGCAGGCAATGAATGTGAGATCGTTTTCCCCCGCATGTTTTATAACATGGTTCGGTTTTTCTGTCAGCAACATTTCAACAAACTGCAGTGTTAGTTATCTGGAGAACGACAACCGACGGTCGATCTCGAACTTGTTTGAAATTAAATGATGACCGCAGGTGAATCAAACACGTTGAAACAGTTTTCGGAAAAGTTTGGTAACAGTCAGCAGATCTATTGCAGGGCAACGTTTCGCTTTTGAGACAAAAGCTTCGCCAGGTCAAGTGACTAGGTTACGAGGTTGGTTGGGATTTGAGGCGGAAGGAGAACCAATTAGCTAAGCCACCTGATTGAACGTTGAGACAGTATTCGTCGAAGAAAGGTAATTTCACCGCACGATTTCACGGTTGGTTCTCCAAGAAAAAAACGAAGTACAGCGTTCTCTAATGGCAAAAGTCGTCAGTTTTCCCAGGAGTGAGAAACAGGGGTAAGCAGAGTTCAGTAGGAATGAGGGAAGATTGCATGAAGATTATGGATGCATCTCCATATGTTGTTCTAATTTGCCTCTAGTGACGAGATTTAGATTTTAACAAAGATAGAATGTAAATTTTGAAGATGAACCATGTTGTTGGGACTACAGGTATGTAAACGGAGGACAGGTGGTACCGATCGGAAGTACGACCCAACGACTAGGGGGCACTCAAAATGCTCTCTGGAATCAAACAATTTATTTTCTGAAGTATCTAATTCGCGACTGCTTTCAGTCCACTTCGATTGTTCTTAAGGTCGCAAATTGGACCGTCGGATAATGGAAAGCATGCGCGATAGGTTTAACCAGTTTGGTGAAACAGCGGCTATTCCTTCTACATAATTGCAAGTTGAATGTGGAGACCTGGTGTGTAAAGGTCATTTGCTGATCGACAAGCCTATCGATCAGGAAATTACGACCCAGTGACTTTGACGAGAAATTCGGCTCGATCAATCGATCGGACAAAGCTTCAGCAAAGTCAGCTTATGAGCGATGTCGGTCAGCTGAGAAATTCTAAGGCAACTTCAATTAGGTAAACATCGTCAAGAGTACGCTGGACATGAATGTGTGGGATATTAACCCACGCCCTGGTCTCGAATGCTGATTTCTAATCCAAATTGTTCTTCATACCGCTCTAAAGTAATGTGTCTGGAGGCTTTAAAACTAACGATCCGTCAATTCCCATGCTAATGGGGATAGAAACAACATCCAACAAACACAAGAGAACAACAAGCACGCGACCATTAGGAAACAAGCTCTATTGAAGGCTGAGCAAGATGTCTCAAGTGGTTAGAGCGCGAATTTACTGACCGGAAGTTCCGTGGTCCGAACCCGACCTCGGCCTCTCGACTTCCCCTGTCTTGGTCTGGGCAACCTGGCAGTATCCCAGCCCTCGTGCTTCCTTCGGGTAGCATGGCAGCTAGGCACCGAAAGGGTGTTGCAGCTGAACGACTAATATTATTATTTATTCTTTAGAGGTTGGAGGAGAGAAATGGAGAATTAGTGCGAAAATAACCTAGGTGCACATACGTTGGAACATCATGTCAGAACAACACGCCATCGATAGGGTTGAATAGCTTTCCTTTGCGAACATCACTCAGCACAAAACAGTTGCATAGTAAGAGATGAAAGTTGGCTTGTCAATCCACCCAAGAAGTGACAGCGTGATCACCACTGGGGCCTGTTACGCCCTATGTTCTGTAAGGCTTCCAAAAATTTGGAAGTTAGGAAGGTGAGAAAGTCATGCAAAGCTCCTATTCGAGAGTCACCACTTTCACTTCTCTTTGCTATGTTATAGTACGATATTTGTGTCAGCCAGGGCCCCGAATGAAGAACGCCCATTGGTAGACAGTGATTTGGAAGGCTCAGCACACATCTCAACTATCCTAACTCGATAAGGCTCATCTGCTGCTCCAGCTATTCTGATTCGGTATCAAATACTACATTGGGGACACGCTGTACCAGCTATAAATAACAATCGTTCAGCTGTGACACCCTCTCGGTGCCCAGCTTCCATGCCACCCGAAACAATCACGGGAGCTGAGGTACTGACAGGATATCCAAGTCCAGACAGGAGCAGGCGAGATGCTGAGGTTGGGTTGCAATCATGGATCTCCTGGTCAGTGAGTTTACGTCTAAAGGACTGAGCTATCTCGAGCTGTAGCTGGCTAACTCATACTACGCTGCGAAGTTACCGAGAGACAAGCTCTTGGTGACATAATGTAGAGGAAAATAGTACTCCGAATCAGAGTTTATTTCAGCAGCGCTTCTTTTCTGCAATTGTATGGCCGAACGGCATTTAGGACACAAATCCTGCAGGGGTGAATAAAGCCGGAGTTGTAAAAGATCGGGAGTGTGACCTTCCAACTACTTGAACTTGAGATGGAAACTCATTCTCGACCGCTAACTGTTTTGACCACTGTACCTGATGAGCGCCAAGAAGAATGAAACTGGTCGTCGGCTGTCGAAGAGTTTCCACTATCCTGAGGAGAAATAGGTATTCTATCGAAAAGACTGAAAACATATATATATATATATATATATATATATATATATATAATATCCAAGCTTCATCGGGAAACAAACTCAGTCAACGACAACTGAATATTTTCTTTAATTAATAATCCACTGAAGTTCATACAACGTTCGGGTAGCTTTCCCATGGCCTGGGTACCTGATCCTGAACCATACAAAATAACCCAAAAGAGAGTTCATCGTCAGAAGAGAACAAAACGCCAGTTTCCACTTAACAGTTCCTCATACCGGGGATCACTTCATATGACAGAATGAACAGCGAGAGTTGGCTTCCACAATAGATACTGCACTACTAAGCATGCACCGTACGCGACCCGACAGACAACCAGCGTTTAATTATGCACTCATCCAATAACTATACCTGGTGTGTGCACCATCCCAGACGAGGACGGAAGCGCACTGGTTTCTATGAAGACAAGTCAATTCCCCTGGATAGTCATTTGTTCAGGTCACTTCCTCGGGTGAAGCTTTTCAAGATGACACGCATATTTGCCTCAGTAAACAACTCGTATTTGTCTTCGCAAGACAATCTGATAGAAATATGCAGCCAGTTGGCCCGAAACTGTCAGTAACTAGTTTTGTACGGAGGCTGCGGAAGAGGTTAGTTGATAACTTCTGGAATGTGTATGACCTAGTACTGCTTGCTCGTGAGTTATAAGCTTGATGATTAGACTTTCCTCTGTATGGCTCTGTGCGACAAAAGTCCAGACAACTTAGCATTTAGGGTTAGACGATTTCTTCCCAGAAACCTGAACATAAGCTTACAATGGAGATAGCATTATATAGAAAATTGAGATAGTTCGGCAATTAGGATGCGAAGCTAATGACTGGAAGATCAGTGGGTCAAACCCGACCATGGTTTCTGGACTGTTCCATTCTGAACTTGGACAGGTTGATAGTACCTAAAGATGAATAAATAAATCGTTCAGCTGTAACGCCTTTCCGGTGCCTAGCTGCCATGTCACCCGAAGAAAGCACGAGGGCTAGGATAATGCCAAGTTGCCCAAGCCTAGACAGGGGAAGTCAAGAGTACAGTACCTATGTCTTGTTGTATGCTTCAATGGTGCATGACAGGTATGGACCGAATAGTTGTCATTCGACCAATATACTCGCAAAAAAAAAACTCGAAATAAGCGAGAAACTTACGGCAAAGTAAGTTGTTCAAAGCGGACGGCATGTGGGACGAGGTAAACATGTCGGTCAAATAATGCTGAGGTTGACCATGCGCAGCTGCAGGGGAAGTTGAGTCCATGCGATGGGACGGTGGTGGTGGTGATGCGACATTGGGTTGTTGGCGCTGTCCGGTGTACTGATAACCAGGGAGCCGGAACTGCGAATACGACTGTCCGGATTTCTCATCTTCGTTTCGACTGAGAGACGCAGTGTACTTGGCCCCAAGCGCAGATAGGGACCGCAAATGATCTACTGCTTCAACAGCGGACATAAGGGAACCCATTGCAGTAGAATCAGAAGAAAAATGCACGGGGTAAGGCTGGAACACGCCGGGTTTGGTTTGCAAAGTGGCTCGTTCAGTATCAGCAAGATTTGGATGGAGTTTCGGTGACATTGGTGAACGCTGGTCCGGGTCATAGCTAAGCATTCTTGTACTCAAATCAGTTGGGTGATAGGATTGTGTAGTGTCAGCATTTTCCTCCTTATTGTACATGTGTGTACCAGCACTGACAGATCCGGGTGCCATAGGAGAATAGGTCCCGTTAGGATCAACTTGTTCGGGGGAGATGAGGCAATTCTCGCGAGTGGTTGGACAGCACATTGATTCGCATGACCACATAGGAGCGGACCTTTGATACTCGGCTGGTTGTGTTTTGTAGTCATTTGGAGAAACGGATTGGTTTTGCGGACCTGGCGTGGTACTCTCAATGTTGCTGGCATTCAGATCCGATAAAGGAGTGTTTGACTGATTAGACAGTCGGGATCCAGGAACGGAGGATGGATGTTGAGGATGACTGGATGAGGATAAGCGCGGGGAGTGCGAATGAAAATCTGCGTTTGGTGGACACCCAGGTGTACTGCCACCAGTACTTGCAGGAGTTCCCACACTACCTGAGGCTAGTGCTGCCATGGAAGGAAGTTGAACAGAGGGGACGTGGTTATCCGTTCGTGTCCTCGTCGTTTTGGTTGCGCCCAGAAGCAAAGAGGCGACGGAACAATCGGACTGCCTATCTCCGCCGGCATATTCAGCAAGGTTGAGCGGCTGGTTGTACATAGGACTGTCTTGTGCATGTGGCTGGTTTCGGGCCGCAGCGCGCTCACCGATGCGTTTAACAATCACACCCAGGTCTTCTAGCATTTCACCTAATGCATCTTGGTTAACAGATTCTTTTTCCCTCTGATATGAGCTAGAGTTGGACATCTTGTTTCGATTCATTTCAGAACACACGTCAACATTAGCTTGCCTGATATGGGACTCTGAGTTCGTTTTCGTTTCGGGTAGGTTGTACCCAACATTCGAAACATCTTCATCACATTCATCTGCCTCTTCTAGTTCATCAAGTTCCTCGTCAGAATCGGCAGATTTTCTTATCGCTCGAAGCTGCATGGAAGCATCATGCATCTCATCATGCGGAGAGGAACAGTTTTCTGCATAGAGGTTAGTGGACCTAAGGTTGCTTCCATGGGCGGAGGTGATTTGACGGGTTTCATTTTGTCGAGATATTGTTGAAGGGGACAGATGCGACGCCATATTTACTCCCGGGAGCCCAGTACTGTCGTCGGACGTTGGTGGGAATGAGTGTGCCAGACTGGATGAGGGGCGTTCAATACGATATCTTCCTCGAATTCCACCTCGAATTCGTCTGTTGACCAGCGCTCCACGAACACCCATGCCTTGAGCCCGATAAACTCCCTGGCCAGCACGCGATGCAGTATCGTCAGAAAGAAGACGCAGCGTCAGGGATAAAGGTCGACCAGTGCCACCACGGGGACGACATCCTCGTCCGCGACCCCGGCTCCGAGGGAAACCTACGGGTTGATAGAAGCTGCTATAAAATGTTGCGTTGCGTTCCTGTTGGGCAACGTTAACCAGATGAGCCGACATTGCCTCAGCTGTACTACTTTCAAGTGAAAAGATGCGTTCAAGAAAAGGCTGAAGTTGTTGTTGGAGTTTCGGTCGTCTCCCACGCCTCCGCGGTGGCGTCGGGGCAATAAGGGGTGTATCGGCTAGTAGTTGCTGCTCCAGTGACTCAATCATGTGAGATTCGTCTCTAGTGAATGACTTGGAGGAGAAAAACATTGATCGCGTCACCTGAAATGGTTGGTTCATGATGGCATCCAAAATGTCATCCATTATTGAATCGATCTGTTCACCCAGTCTTGTGCCCGTGCTAAAAGTTGGAAGGGAATTAACAGCGTTAGTTTTGGCACGTTCGAATTCCTCTACCGATCCTGATGCCTCAGCCTGTTGTAGTTCTGTGAGCACGGTGGTTAGTATGGTTGTCAACGACGGATCACCAGAAGAAGTAGGACCATTGACTGCCTCAGTCCTGTTGTGTAAGAGGAAGTCGTGACCACCTGAGGAATGTCCAACACCGCGTTCGTGAGTTGGTGACAAATGGCTAGTTGCAGAAGGATGATTGTGATTTCGAAATGGCGGCGCTTCCTGGTTAGAATGTTCAAAGTCAAAAGTACCAGAGTTGAAAAGGTCCGGAAGGTCTGACTCTTTATCTAGACTGTCGAGAATTCCATTGATTTCGGCATCCAACGGTCCCGGAGGCTGTGGCCCACAAGATTCCAGAATATCAGCCATTCGATGCCGCACCACAGGAACAGGAGTGGAGGTTCTACCCTGGATTGCATTGTTTCCCTCGACATGAGCACCCATACCAAAGCTGCTCACAGATAGTCGTTGAGGGCTGCTAAATTGTGGGCTGAATGTCTTGTACGGCCCTTCTACATTGGCATCTTTTGCATGTTGTAGTCGGTAGTGTTCATTTAGACTCGGCTTATTGTAGCAGCTGAATGGGCAGAGGGCGCAATTGAAGGGTTTTTCACCAGTATGTTTCCGATAGTGCAGATTCAAGGTTTCCTCACTGCAAAATCGTCGCTGACAATTTGGCCATTGACAGTGGTATTTCTTTTCAGATTCTGAAAAAAGTGAAAGCGATAGACGGTGAAATGAATCGCATGTTGACGAGAAAGAAGGCAAATGGATTGGTTGATAGTGACCAATCAGAATGTGCACTGGTATGAGCACATTACTAATAATTCGAAAATAGGAAACGTGAAAGCCAAACCGGAAATTCACGAGGAAATTCATGAGGAAAGAAGTGGAACTCGGATGGGTTGTTAATTCCTGTTAAACATGTACGGGTGCAGCATTTAAATGACGTAAACTGCCTGTTAATTCGAGGTATTGTTCGGTCAGAAATTTCGTTCAAAACGAAGAGAGAATCGTTTAAGAATCTAAGAATCCATTTATGCATCGATTTAAAGGCAATGAAAAAATTTAAAAAAAAACTCATGGCTAATTAGTGTATCATGAGCACCTTTCATTGAGCTACGGTTACGTCAACGAGCAGCGATTAGTACCATAGCCAGCGGCTGTGGTTTATCGCCACAGGACCTGTAACAAAGCATTACAATCATTTGTAGGCTTTTAGTAATCCGGACACCCAGTTTGTGATAGCAGAAGGCTGTTCTCTCAAAGCCACCTCGCTGAGGAAGAAAATATTCCAGGCTCGATAGTCTGAATCAAATTACGACATGCACAAGTGTCACTTCAACACGACATTGAGATTGACATCCGTGGCTGCGCCACTCAACAATTTACCCCGGGGCTCCTCAAGCTAAGAGCAACTGTCCGTAAAGTTCGAGCAGATAGCACCTTTTATATTAAGTGCTTGGTCTCCCTTTGCAGGCAATTTCCAATAAAAATCTCATTTTGACAAAGGCTTTGACAAACGAATGTCGGATCATCTCTAGTCCCGGAAGGAGATGATTTCTTTGGTATATCATTTTTCTATGAGTAACTGAGCCCACGTTTCACTGATTTCCCGTACTTTTGTCACGGGGCGAGATGGCCCAAGTGGTCAGAGCGCGAATTTACTGACCGGAAGGTCCATGGTTCGAACCCGACCCCTGCCTCTCGACTTTCCCTGTCTAGGCTTGGGCGACCTGGCAGTATCCCAGCCTTCGTGCAACCTTCGGGTGGCATGGCAGTTAGGCACTGAAAAGATGCTACAGCTGAACGATACTTTCGTCACGCATCACACCTGACAGTCAACATAACCGTGTGCTTTGTTCAACGAAAAACCAGCGGAGTTGAAACACCGGTGCAAAGCTGCTATGCTACCCGAAGGGCTAAGATACTGCCAGGTTGCCCAGTTCGACCTGGGGATGCACAGACGTTTTTCGGAGATCAATAGAATTTCACGCGGAATCATCGGTGAAAGTACTGGAATGTCGTGGCACTGAATGACAGATTGATGTGAGTTGCAACCAACCATATGCTAACAATCCTTTAGCACGTCATGGCTTGTTTCCAATGGGCGAAACTCCGCCAATTTCACTTCACACAGCAAACAAAACGGAATCAATCAGTCGTACAAAAGGTGCCTTGTTTCCGTCTGCTTGTTATAAAGATTAATTTTTTTCTGTCTGCTTACTGTACATTATCACTCGCAGTCAGGATCAACTATGCAGAACACCTTGAACTACCTAAATTGTTTTATCAGAGGGAACGCTGGCAAAATTGCAGTGACTTCAAAACTCACTGATTGCAAGGAACTTACCTTCCTGCCGCTCACCTTGCCTGTCGGTCTACCTGCAGCTAGGTAACGCTCACATTGAACGAGTGTACCGGCGTCTTTCAAAGAATGGATGAACGTGTTTCTAGCTGTTTAGTCAATTGGTTTGCGTACTCTGGACTATCAAGTACGGACAATAGTTTCGCGGTTTGAGCAAAGTGATTCGTTTACCCAATACTGACCAGTAACATGTGTTTCACTGTCAAAAGACCGGGGACAAAGCTTCATCTACGAGGCGGTATTTTCAGCATGAAATAGTTTCGTTGAGCAAAGTGATTCGTTTACCCAATACTGACCAGTAACATGTGTTTCACTGTCAAAAGACCGGGGACAAAGCTTCATCCATCTGGCGGTATTTTCAGCATGAAACCTATTCCTGTTCAATATATATATATATATATATATATATAT